CACCTATATATATATTCAAAATATCCTTAATAAACAACAATTTAATGCTTCGACTACTGATTATGAAAATGTAACATATCTTTCAATGAATTGATATAATACTAACGGCCATCTTTCCGATGGTAAATAATATTGTTTAATAGTTCAAGTTAATACAGAACACATTTCTCATAAGTATGATGGAAATATACGTTCGCTAATCGAGACTGATCACATGCAGTCCTTAATACTGTGTCGATCATCTTTTGGGATATATATCCGGAACATGGGTATACAGCTATAATATTTCGAATTACAATTTTGTGATTATAAATCGCTAGATTTTTTAACCTTTTTCATACGTATAATTTCAGAATCTTGAAGTAACTTTTGACTGAAGCTTCCATTTATATGCTCTAATGGAAACTTTTGATGTGTTCAGTGTTATAATCAATAACCCAACATTCTTCTCGTTTAATTTTGCTCTGTATACCACGTGTATTACTTAACCTGGTTGTAAATCTGCTCTTGTTTTGTGAATCGAATTTATACACCGTAAAATAGTTGAACCTCTAATCAATCGTCATAAATTGACTAACAGTTGATGAAAACTAAAGAGAACTATACAAAAATCTCATTCTAGTATTGTTCACTTCAGTTATTCTGGTGTATAACCGCTCACTGATGTTAATCTAAAATCTTTGATCTTCATCCTCATATTTTAAAAATAAGATATCTGAATTATTCAAAGCAACTATATTGAGATGGTGGAGAAGATTTGTAACTCAGGTGGATGATTTTGGTGGAGTTTTGTTCTCTGAACTGGATAGACTTCTATCTGAAGTTTGTGCTGATGATGTCGTTCAGAAGAACAATGAAAGCTCCACGACCAAACCATCTAGGTCAGAGAACAAAACTCCCCCAAAGCAACTATTTGTCAAATCATCCATATTACCAAGTTCACTAATAAACTTCATTGATATAACAAAAAAAACAAAACATGTATGAACTGAGTTCTTTTTTTATTAATATAAAGTCAATAATCATTATCCTTTTAATGAAATGATTGATTGATCTTAATTGAACTTTTTAGAAAGAAGAAAAAAATGAAATCAGAATGTTTAACTATTAAAAATCAGTTACTATTTTTTATTGTTTTAAATATTCTATCTTTTCTAAAGGTTAATTTTCTTTTCATGGATTCTATTTTATTATTTAAAAACACGAGTTGATTTATTAGTGAATCCCATGGAATGATTTAAAATTATGTTACCCACCTTATCTTTCCGCCCCCACCCCTCCCCACTCCGCTGAAAATATACACATATGTTACTGACTGACCTATTTTATTTAAAATTAATTACAATCTACCCAGTATAAGTTTCAATTTTTTTCTCTGTATGTGAATGTGTGTGTGGTTTCTCTTATATTATTAATAGATTCTTTTTATTATTTAAAAAAAAAAAAAGAAGAATAAGGTCACTAAAACTCATTTGTTTAAACAAATGAAATTAAAACTGGCAGAAAGGTTACTATTATGATTAACGTTATTATTATTATTATTATTAATATAATTTTTTTTTGTTTTTCTGTTGTTGTTGAGAAATGAATTAGAAATTTTTCTTCTGGAACAATGAAGATTATTTCGTAATGACAAGAAAATTAATGTGAAGAATAGTTTAATGATTTTTTGTTTGTTTTGAAGAAAATAGTTTCTTATTGAATACAATTGGATTATTTTGTTTATTTGTTTCAAGAATTTCAAATGTGTACTAATGTAATAGTAATAGAATAATAATAATCGTATTCATTTCAACATGACCTCGAGAGGTAATGAGAAACAAAAATTTGTATGTCCATTCATTTGTTGTTATAATTTCAGTTATTAATTTTAAATAAACTATTTCAATAAAATCAAGTCTTTATAGAATAGTTCAATTAATCAAATGTTCACATATGTCTAAACTAATTAATTAATACCCAAAATAGCTTGTTACAGGCAGTTACTATAAAGTTGGATGTAAAAATAAATACTTAGTCATTATTATCAGAATGGGATTTGTGGAGATTTTTAAAAATTTCACTGGTTGAAATTATGAGTCATTTGAAGCTAGACCACCATGGAAAACCTGAAAGCACTGGACGGCCGTTTTGTCCTCACTAGTGACTGACTTCAAGAGATACTCCTGGAGTTCTAGTGAGAAGCCGTTACCAGTGGATTTCAACCAGGTCTGTTGTGAGATATCAACTCATTGAAGACAATGGCGTACGGTGGTGCAACTTCGTGGATTGGTTGAAGCTAGACATTAACACCGTTGGATGCTGGCTGATTCAGTGGTCTAGTTGATTAGGCACGTGGCGCGAGGCTGATAGGTCCTGGGTTCGAATCTCGCGAGGGGCGGGATCGTGGATGCGCACTTACTAATTAGTCTAAGATGTGACTTTATATTCAGCGTCCCAAGTTTATTGTTTTTGAATAAAACAAGGTATATATCAAGTTCTTCCTACAATTGAAAATCTAGTACGATATATTACACTAACTCTCAACCCACCTTTATTGCAAATAGAAATAATAGCTCTGAGAAATAACGCGGATAAATAAACTGATAGTTTTCATGTTTAGACATTTCTGCGTACTTTATATGTAAAATATTTAGTATTTTACACTGTTGGGAAGACCTAAAGTATTCCTCAAAAAACACTCAGAGGTGTCTTGAAAACTCTGGGAAACATTTTATCTATTCAACATTCAATAGAAGTATTTCATAAATACCTAGAAAGTGAAGAGTTACGTGTCACATTTCTAATTGAATGACTACCTGTTCTGCTAATATGTTTAACAGGATTCCAGAACCTTGCAGATGCCCAAAGCCGTCTGAAATGTTATAAATACCATAGATTTTTTGTACTTAAATTAAATTTGGAGTAAGGCGTTCTTTTCATATTTCACGCCTTTGCTCTCGTGTTCACGTTGTCGTGTAGATTTATCCTGAGATTATTGGAGGAGTTTAGAAAACCGAATCAGCGTTCAGTCAGAATATTTATCAAACATACTGAATCACATTCGATGGTTTATTTACTCCACCTACTTAGTATTTCTGTATAAAATATCATTTTTATACTGATAATAACTTCATGATTGTTGAATTTATTTTCTTGGCTGTAGAGTTTAAACAACCACCAATGCCTAATTATTTAACCTATACTTTTTCCCCTATGTTATATTGGTTATTTCACATTTTTGTTACATTTCTCTGAGATGCTCAATTTGTAGTTACTCGGAAATCATACTCCTTCAGAGAGTATAGAATTAAATTTTTATTGCTCTGATTAGTACCTTGCAATTTATATCAAATTGATCATTATCTACAAATAAAAAGTACATGTGTTCTGGATTAATTTTTAGGATGCATTTAATTGAGATCATGAACCGATTGATGATAGACCATTATTGAAAACCTGGAAGCACTGGACGGCCGTTTCGTCCTACTGTGGGACTCCTCAACAGTGCCCATCCACGATCCTGCTCGCGGGATTCGAACTCAGGGCTTTCATTCTCGTGCATGAACACTTAACCTACTGAACCAATAGTGTCAATGTCTAACCTCAACCAATCCACGAAACACCAATCGGTTCATGATCTCAATTAAAAACTTAATAATCTCCACAACCCCTATACTGGCATTACATTTAATTTGTTTCTCAATGTGGAGATAGGATATCAAAAATTATGCAAGTCGACAAGATTCGGCATAGCAACTATTTCAATAGAATGAAATATTTCGGTTTTTTAAAAAACATACATTTTGCCACTTGGTTTTTAACTACATAATCTTAATAATTTGTTTAACTGATCATTTTTTTATAAAAAACTAAACGTATACACTGTTTTATGTTCTCTTAAAAAACTGAAAGTTTTTAATTGTGCCCAACTCACTAAATTCTGCTTTTCTTATTATAATAAATCACAAAAGCTCTATAAAACACTCATCCTATTTTTTTTACTGTTTCCGTTATAAAGTTCATCAGTTTTTGTTACTATGTTGATTGAAAATTTATTGAACCTGTGTTAGTGAATTTATCTCAAAATGATCAAAAATAATCAGAAAAAAAAGTGAATTTTACAAAAAGGAACTAAAAGTGAATGATATTGAGGGTTTCCACAGTAGGTAGAGTTTATTTATTTAATTATAATTCTATAAGGTGATTTCCGTGACTATAGCTTGTAATCTGAATATGATTGATAGTTAATTCAGAAAAATACTAAACAGCTTAAAGAAGGCCCATATATTATGCATCATAATAGTTATTACGTTTATATTAAACCATAGTATTGGTGAGTATTAGATCAACTAAATTTGAATGTTTTATATCATCAGCTCATTAACATCTAGTTAATCTTAGATTCATATAGTCGATAAAACTATGTAAAGATTGTTAGTTATACAATTTGAATAATTGTATCAATGCAGTCTGTGTCATTTACATCTATTTGTTAATTAGTTCATTGGACAAATGAATGGTAATGGTCATGTAATTTACCACTAATTTTACCAAATAGCAGGAAATCTAGCTATCAACTTATTAAGAATACGTTTATTGTTTTTAAACACTTTTACGTTCTCATTTTATATCAAGTCATCCCAAGTAAATCTATGCATTTCAATAAACATGATGGCTTATAATATTCATAAATGTATTTCTTATGTTTACACTGAAAGTTTACTAAACATAAAATGTTTGACAGGTGAGTTTAAAAGAAGGTGAGTCTACAAATCAATCATGATCACCGATGTATAAACATTGTAAATACACATAATTATGAATAATATGAATTCTGAGAAAAATCATCTATTCATTACCGTAGATTTTATTGATCTTAATTACCTTAGTGACTTAAACAGTTTAAATTTGCAGTAGTAATTAAAACGGGATAAAAGTGATATGATTTCAAATAGCCTGTATAGACATTATAAATATATGTATTAAATATAATTAGAAAATATTATGTCAATGCTTACCTAGCCATGCTCCTAAACACACTAATTTAGCTTGAACCTCTGTCATTTTTAAATTTTGCCACGGTAATACAACAGCTAAAAATCGACTTGTTGTTAAGCCAAGTAACATGAAAGCTGACGAAAACACCGTCACCTAATAAAAAATAAAATAATAAAAATAAAATATTCAGAAAAACGGAATAAATAATCCATTCATAGATTTGAGATCATATTTGTGGTTAACTATTATCCAAAGCTACCATCCAAATTTATATATACTAAAAATTAGGAAAAAAGGTCCATTTAATCGCCAGGTACAATTCTTGAAATATTTCAAAGTCTCACTAAAAAAAAATTATCATGGTAGTCCGTAGAGAAAGTTACCACTGGTTTAGTTCAATTACATTGACAACAATGTATGAATGCAAGAGTTTCTGTAATTGCTTTTCTTTTCCTTTTTTCATTTGTATGTTTTACTTACAATTCATTGCATAGTGGTTGGACGAATGAAGCAGTTAATACAAACAGAGATTATTATATACACGGAAACTATTAAGATCATTACTTCTATTGAATATATAACTAGAGCAGTTCACAATAGGAAACGGAAAAAAAGTAATTATCCTTTAAAATATTAAATTAGTTTATTTAAATACCGTTTTATTCTTTTAAAAAAAAGGATATTTGCATCAGTTTAACACTTTTTCATTTATTCGGTTCATGGTGTACACTATGATTTTATTCAAACGAATACCTAGAATATCGTATATTACTAGTAAATTGATGATATCTGGAAAATTATACAGTCGTATCGAGTGCAGAACAATTAATAAATCAGTTGAAAATCGGTGATTATTTATTCTAATGACTGAATTCATGAGTTGATTAAAGCTAGACCACCATGGAAAACCTGGTAGCACTGGATGACCGTTTTGTTCTAGTGCGGGGCTCCTCAGCAGTGCACACCACGACAATGGTGGTTGGAGTTAAACACCACTACTAGATACCGGCTCAGAAGTCTAGAGGTTGGGCGTATTCCCGTGATATCGTTAGGTTCTGGGTTCGAATGCCGCGTGCGAGATCGTAGGTGCAAGTTGCTGAGGAGTCCCACACTGAGACGAAACGGCTGTCCAGTGCTTCCAGGTTACCCATGGTGGTCTAGCTTTGACTGACTCATGAGTGCAACTATTAAATTATTAAAATCTTCACGAAACCCCATTGTGATAATTATTTATTTGACTGTTTTTTCATAAATTGAAATGTTCTAGTCCAATTTCCATGTCTAACTCATTTTTACACAACTCGGTATCATTTATACTGTTGCATACAGTCTACTGAATTTCGTACACGAATATTTCTTTTGTTTTGGAAGAATGTAAGCTGTATGCACTAACCTCTTCACATAGTAATCGATTATTCGATCGCTTCAATTGTCATAGCTCATGTTTTCTTCATGTTATTGTGATTACATGGCTTACTTTTTGTTACTCAAGTTATTTATAATTTCAGATGGGTTTTGTGGATATTATAGTAATTTCAATGGTTGAGATCATGAGTCAATTGAAGCTAGACCACCATAGAAAACATGGAAGCACTAAACGACCGTTTATTCCTATTGTGGGATTCCTCAGCGACATTCGAACCAAGGACCTATCAGTCTCGCGCGCGAGCGCTTAGCCACTAGACCACTGAGTCGGCACCCAACGGTGTTATTATCATTATTTGTACAGTTGTAATTTGATTATTAGTTAGAGAAGGACATCTTCAAAATTGCATTACATTACTTATAAACACTATAAATCTAATTCATATATATGTAATCTTATTTTAGTCATAAACTTTTCAAGTGAATTTTGTTTCTTCATACCTTATAATTTCTCAATTGCATGTTTTAAATGCAAGAGCTAAGAACCAGGAGTAACGAATGTCTTTGTTGTCACCAAATATTTTTCAGAAGAATGTTTGTAATGTACAAGAATACAAGTTGGGACAATTAAATGAATTTCTACACCAAAATTACAGAACATCTTAATAAAATCTGAGAGTCATACTTACTTACTTATTTACTTGCTTACATGCATACTTACTTACTTACTTACTTACCTACTTACTTTACTTACTTACTTACGCCTGCTACCCTCAATGGAACATAGGCCGCCGACTACCATTCTCCAACACACTCTGTCATGGGCCTTCCTTTCTAGTTCCATCCAATTCTAGTTCATTTTTCTCATGTCTATCTCCATTTCACGGCGTACTATGTTCTTGGTCTTCCCCTTCTCCTTTGGCCTTGAGGATTCCATGTGAGTGCTCGTCTTGTGACGCAGTTGTGTGCTTTCCTTAATCTGTGTCCTATCCACTTCCAGCGCTTCTTCCTAATTTCTTCCTCCACTGGAATCTGGTTTGTTCTCTCCCACAGTAGGTTGTTGGTAATAGTGTCCGGACAACGGATCCGAAGTATTTTGCGTAGACAACTGTTAATAAACACCTGTATCTTCTGGATGATGGCTTTCGTAGTTCTCCAAGATCCCGATCCATACAGTAGAATTGTCTTGACATTTGTATTGAAAATTCTGACCTTGGTGTTGGTTGACAGTTGCTTTGAGTTCCAGATGTTCCTCAGTTGTAAATACACTGCTCTTGCTTGGTCGATCCACGCCTTCACATCTGCATCAGATCCACCCTGTTCATCAATGATGCTGCCCAGATATGTGAAGGTTTTTACATCTTCCAAATCTTCCCCGTCAATTGTGATTTGATTGGTGCATGCTGGTGTCCGTGTTCACTACAGTATTAATGATTAACCCCAACCAATCCCACGGAATCGCTCGACCATCTTCCATTGTACTAAGGTAGATACCTGTCTCTACCTGACATAGATTATCTCCCCTGTCACGAATTCGCACTTGCTCTCCAAGGATTCGCGCAAGAAACCGAAGGCCCTGGGCTCGAATCCCGCAGGTGGGATCGTGGGTGGGCACTGTTAAGGAATCATATACTAGGACGAAACTGCCGTCCAATGCTTCCGGGTTTGTAATGGTGGTTTGACATCAATCGGTTCATGATCTCAATCAAAAACTTAATAATCTACACAACGCCATACTAATAAATATGTAATTATTTTATAAATAGGCTAGTTACCACTGTCTTGGTGATCATTTGACACCACATTTTATAAATTAATAATGATAATCGCTCTGTTCAATATCATATTGTTTAAATGGAATAAACCATTCTTAAAACAAAACAAATCTTAATAATTTAGCATTTAACTGTCAATATTTAATTGAATTGTTTTTATTCAAAAAAAGTCTAGCTAAAATTCATTCTGAATTGTGATTATCTTCAACTTTAATTCTTCTACTAACGTTTTCAGCCGGTTATATCTATATAACACTATCTTTATCACATAGATCTCAATGTAATCAGGTCTTTCTTTTATTGAGCAAAGCCAAACACGAAGAAATTCCAAATAGAGTGGTGGTTTACCGTTGAAGTTTTTTTCTTACACTTGATCTTCTTTCTGCGGTAGCGGACAATTACTGCTATTGTTTAAAAGCTGCCGTCCATAATAGAACTGTTCATATTAAAATAGTCTAATAGTTCCTTAATTCACAAATATCATAAGGGAACCGAAAACCTTAAAGCCTAATTGTTTTTAACAATATTTAATCTTGACTCAGTATTTTACATGAGTAATTATGGTTTACTTACTTTATACGAATGACAAAATTTAGTAGATACATTTGAGAAATAAACTTTAAAACTATCTTTTTGCATAGAATGTTTAATATTTTCGAAAATATCATCAAACGCTTATGAGGATTCCATTCAGATATTGTCGTGTTTAAATGATTGTGTAACCGAAACAATAACAAATGTTAACTAAAGTAGTTATTCATCGAACGGAAATGTAAATCACTGAATACCGGCTTAATAGTCTATACGTTAGTTACTTGCACCAAAACCTGAAGATCCCGTCTCTAGTTCCTGATGTTCTCGTATATGACTACTATTGAGTTGTTAGATAATATAGCGGAATAGTTGTCCAGTAGTTCTTGATTTTAAATGATCGTTTGACTATCTGTCCATGATATTAATTATGAAGTTGCATTTTAAGTTAATAAAATGTAATCATTTACAACTACAAAAGGTGTCTAAACTCTTTTATATTTCCAATGATCATTTAACAATAAAACTTTTTAGTAAAATATAACATAATTTTGATAGAGTCTTGTTCTTTGAGCTCAGGTACCTGAAGTTTGTGCTGATGATATCGTTCAGAAGAACAATGAAAGCTCCACAATCAAACCATTCAGCTCAGAGAACGAAACTCTATCAAAATCATCCACTTGAGCTACAAATCTTCTTTACCATCTCGTATAACATAATAAATCAACCAAATATCAAAATGTGTATATTATTGCATAGTTAACTATCAGAGTTTATAACACCTATGAAGATTAACATTAATATTTGTTTAGTTGTTAAATGAACACTAATTTAAATTAAAAACAACCTAGTTTCATCGTATTAATTACGTGTCTATATCAATGTTATAAGAACATATATATTCTTCACTAATTATAATGTAAGATATTAAACAGCTGTTTTCAAGTTAATTATTAATGAATTATCACAGTTATCTAATTGTTTTAACTAAATATTCATTATATAATAAATATTTAGCACAAAAAAAAGATATACATTCGTGCAAGAATCGTTGTTACTAACTGAATAAACTACTTAGATTATTCTATATACTTGAATACATTAAAGTAGATTACAACTATTTATCAAAGCAAAGTTGATTTCAATCCATGTTTGTCTGTTTCTTTGTATATTTTTGTGTAATATTAAGTGTTACTTAAATTATTTCATGTGATGAATTTGTATATAAGAACAAATTGATTATTTCTCATCTCAACCTAAGTGAAAACAGAGGTATATTAAAGATATTAATACGTGTTTACGTAATGAATAGATTCCTGATTGTTTCTTAACCTCAATTAATACTTTATGTTTCTTCAAAAAAAATTATACAGTTGATCAAAGAAATTAATAAAAGTGTACAAAAAAAATTACTAAAACAAAGCAAGAAGAATAGAATTTACATAATGATATGGATTCATTATAATCCGAGACTTCTCATCA